AAGAAGCAAGCTGTTGACTAAATGAGAGATATAGTAAGAGTTTCCCACACACTATTTAACACAATACAACAATTCCTATCTATACTAATAATAGAGGAATATGCAAATTGTCCAGGATGCTGTCACAGTAATGACCGAACAGCAGGCTGTGTGGGATGACCAGGCTGGCAGGGGGGCAGTTGGGGGTGACCAGGTCGGCAGGGGGTGGTCAATTTGGGATGACCAGGCTGGCAGGAGGGGCAGTTAGGGGTGACCAGGCTGGTGGTGGGGCAGTTGCAGGCGACCAGGCCGGCAGGAGGCGGGCAGTTGGGGGCAACCAGGCTGGCAGGGGGGGCAGTAAGAGGCGATCAGGTTGGCAGGCAGAGACGGTTAGGGGATCGAGCCTAAACCGGCAGCTGGACATTCCTTGAGAGGTCCCAGATTGGAGAGAGTGCAGGTTAAGCTGAGGGGACCCCTCCCATGCACGAATTTCATGCACCGGGCCTCTAGTGTTATAATAAAAACCTAAGCGACCATTACAGTGGAATGACCAGAATGACCGGTCGCTATGATGCGCACTGACCACCAGGGGGCAGACGCTCAACACAGGAGCTGCCCCCTGGTGGTCAGTGTGCTCCCAGAGGGGAGCGTTGCTCAGCCAGAAGCTGGGCTCACGGCTGGTGAGCGCAGCGGCGGTGGCAGGAGCCTCTCCTGCCTCCATGGCAGCACTAAGTAGCAGCGAGCAGGCAGGCAGTAAGGAGAGAGGTGGGGTCCCGGGCGAGAGGGCACAGGCCGGGCTGAGAGACCCCCCCCCCCATAGTGCACGAATTTCGTGCATTGGGCCTCTAGTTAGTAATAAGGGGGAAAGGAAGACCAATGGAAAAATGGGACAGAGCTGCCAGGCTGAACTCCCCAACAAGGGCATCCCAATGGGAAGAGGAGCACCCGAGTGCCTTGGGAGTTTAAATAGTTAGAATTATCACAGAGAAGCAAACACTAAGCTAAAATTCAAGTCATTGCTTTGAAGGCTGGGTTTATAAATTCTCTTCCCCTCATTAACTAGAAAAGTCTTTTGTTATCTCAGTTTACACAATTTATCCCACCATGAGTCATAGATTTTCATTTGCTCTCTACATACAGGGGTGGGCAAAAGTAGGTTTACAGTTGTGAGCATATGAAACAGTTTATTCTTGTATTAATTATTTATTAAATATTGTATTATTTTCCATATGAACACCTGTAAACCTACTTTTGCCCACCCCTGAATAAGAAGTGTTTGAAGAACGTCAGATGACTTCTCTCTTTTGGGGTTTCTATTTTCCGCCTTTCTAAATGACCATTATTGCTGGTGGGCGTGGGAGGAAGTGGTGTTGGAAACAAATTAGTACAACAACGAAATGCTTTGTTGTCAATGGTGCGATCTTGTAGACATTTATTCTGATAATTTAAAAGATCTTAATCTATAGGTGAATACATTTTTGATTCTTACTCATTTTATTGCTGCTATACAATCAACAAAAATACCAAGTTCTGCTTAATATAAGCCCTGACAAATTTCCTTTGTCCTTGACAAAAGTTCTGGTTCCTGGTGATGTGGTTTTGAGGAACAATGCAACAACTGGTAATAAACCTATGCTCCACAAAGTTAAAACAAACAACTTGCCAATGTTTTAATCACAGTTTAAGAAAATGATTTATTTTTATTTTGGCAACAATCTAGCCAAAGTTATAAGAGAACTTAACGTTGTTAGACCAAAGAGATGGAGAGACTCTTTAAATAAACAATTATAAATGCTGTATATTTTCATTTAACACTCTGTTGGAATGTCTTAAGGAATAAAATAAAAAGAATATAGTTTATGAATTGAATAAAGCACTTCTTTATCCTGTGACATTCTTATTAATGGAACATGTTTCAATGACTATTTTTTATTTTATTTTATTCATTTATTTATTTTTCCTTTTAGGCAGTACATTTATTAAATGCATAGCAATATCAACATATTTGCAAACATTGAACTTGATAACCTTTTTCTGACTCAGATCTAGTTAATGTCAATAGTTTCATAGAAAGAGGGCCTTGGGAGTTAGTGTTGCCCTGGCCATTACTAGTTATAAAATATAAGGCAATAAGTCGCGTTGGCCTTACATTCCTCAATAGGCGATAAGATTATGTGACCTCTAAGGCCTTTTCTAGTCAATGACTGTTTTTTAAATTCTTTACAATGCAGGGAAATTTTGCTTCAATGGAAAACCATGCATTGTTTAGAGTACCCCTTCCAGGTTATTGAATTGTGATTTTATGGGGCTCTGTACCTTGCATGGCCTTTGAGTTATTTTACAGCTCTGCAGATTGTAGATAATTGGTAGCAATGCAAAATAATTCTTGTCTATAGACATGGAAATAAATTATGTCTAGTGGTAGTTTAATTGACTTTCAATTAAACTGTTCAAAGAAGCCAGATTTGCCTTTATTTGTACATTCATTTAAGAGGACATACAGATGGCCAATAGACATATGAAAAAAATGCTGAACATCACTAATCATGAGACAGATGCAAATTAAAATCACAATGAGATATCATCTCACACCTGCCAGAATGGTTACCATCAATAAATCAACAAACAACAAGTGCTGGCAAGGATGTGGAGCAAAGAGCACTGTGGTGCACTGTTGGTGGGAATGCAAAGTGGTGCAGCCACTGTGGAAAACAGTAGGAAGGTTCCTCAAAAAATTAAAAATGGAGCTGCCTTTTGATCCAGTAATCCCACTCTAGGGATATATCCTAAGAATCCTGGAACACCAATTCAAAAGAATATATGCACCTCTATGTTCATAGCAGCATTATTTACAATGGCCAAGATATAGAAACAACCCAAGTGCCCATCAGCAGATGAGTGAATAAAAAAGCTGTGAGACAGATACACAATGGGATACTATGCAGCTGTAACAAAGAAGGAACGCTTACCTTTTGTGACAGCATGTCACAGGTGAGGGACTGGATGAAAGAAACTGAAGGGAGCAGCCAAAGCACATATATTCATAACCCATAGATTCCCACTTCCACCCAGCCCCCACCACCCCTTCCCTCTGGCCATCACCATACTGCAGACAACAGTGGTGGGGGCTGGCTGGAAGTGGGTAAGGGGGAAAATGGGGACGTCTGCAATAGTGTCAACAATAAAAATAATTTAAAAAATTTGAAATTTGTATTGAATTTATTAGGCTAACATTGGTTAACAAAATTATATAGATTTCAGGTGTACAATACTGTAATATATCATCTGTATATTGCATCATGTGTTCACCATCCCAAGTCAAGAATCCTTCCATCACCATTTATCACTCCTTTAGCCTCTTCTACCTCCCTCCAACCCCTTTCCCTCTGGTAATCACCGTACTGTTGTCTGTGTATAATTTTTGTTTTGTCTTGTTTATCCCTTTGACAGGGGCAGAAATAGAACGTTGGGGAACTAGCTAGAATTGTAAGAAATATTAATCATGCTCTGTTAACCGGGATTGTTTTATTCTGATTAAAGAAGGCACATTCTAACCTGGCTGACAGTTACCCACACGGGACATGGGAGCTCACCTAAAAATGCAGCCCATCCTCCGCATTTGGAGCTGCCTATTATCATGGGAAGATGAACAAATTTGCCGCAGAATCAACAGCTCTTTGAAGACCCCCTCCCCCAGCCTTTGCATATCACTAAGCCCTTTGAAGACCCCCTGCCCTTTGGAATCCCTTTGAAGATCCCCAGCTCTCTACTTATCTGTTAACTGCCCATGTGGCACACCTTTTGGTTACTTCCCCATGTAATCTTTTGTCCTTTTACCCTATATAAGCAGCTGGCTTATGGTGGGGTGCAGAGCAGACTTTTTTTGGATGACCTGCTGCTCTCCCATATTGCTGGCAGTATTGGAATAAACACTCATAATGTTTCAACCCTGTCTCTGCTTAATTGGCTCAAGTAGTGACAGGCAGCACAGACCCATTGATTGTCTGGTTACACCTTCACCTTTCTCACCCAGTCCCCTAAACCATTCCCCTCAGACAGCAGTTAGTCTGTTTTCTGTATCTATAAGTCTGTTTCTATTTTGTTTGTTAGTTTATTTTGTTCATTAGATTCCACATATAATTGAAATCATATTGTACTTGTCTTTCTCTGACTGGCCTATTTCACTTAGCATAATACTTTCTAGGTCCATCCATGCTGTCACAAAAGGTAAGAGTTCCTTATTTATTATGGCCACATAATATTCCATTGTGTAAATGTACCACAGCTTTTTGCACCTTCATTCCTGATCTTGATATGTTTCTGTTCTTTAGGTAGTCCTTCGAACTGCTTTTGACATCTTAATGGTGCCATCATTAATACTAGTACTTACTTAAATGATTAACAAAATCAGTTAAAATATTTAGCACATGTTTATTTTCTTTCTGTATGAGAGTCATGGTTACTTCGATTTGGTTAAAACTAGCCATTAGTAAAAATATAAAGGGAAAGTAGGTTTTTGAATGGAAAGTTTTGAAATTAGGTGTTTATAATCTCTGATCTCACAGATGGTTACCAATCTTCTCTTTTTCACTTTTTGTGCCATAATTTCACCTTTATAACTTTTGTTCAGCTACTATTCCTTTACTTTTTACATCATTTTGATGAATGACAAACCAATGTAGCACTTGGTAATTTAAATCTGTGCTCCATAAAGCTAAACCAAACAAATGAGCTCATAAACATTTTAATCACAGTTAAAATTGATATGCTTTTATTTTGGCAACAATCTAGCACTCAAGAATTATGACTAATGATTTTTAAGAGAAGTTAACTTTGCTGAGCCAAAGGGGGGTGGGGAGAAACTCTTTAGACAATTATAAGTACAGTATATTTTCACATAACTGGCTTTTGGGAGTTAATATTTTATTGAAAATTTTCATCAGAATCATTACACTACACTGTATTCAAAGGGGAAAAAATTTCACAACATCTAATAAATAAAAACAGATTTTTATACTTACTGTGCCCCACCACAGAGCATCTGCGTATGTAGAAAACTCTTTGTTGGCATCCTTTTCCACCAGGTAGACAAGGAAAGATGAAAAAATAAGAACCAAAAATCCTATGTACCAAGCTGTGATTAATTCCTAGGTAAAAAAGGAATGAAAGATTTTTAGAAGGGAAAACAACCTTTGAAAAAGGAAAACAAATCTATCTATGCATGATTCCATTCATTTAACTACTTCTTGGATACTTATGATGATTTTTAAACAATCCATTATATACTGTGTCTCTAAATTACTTTGGCCAAATTCTGAAATGACTAAGTTCGCTAATGACAAGCTTATCAAATATTTCAGCAACCAATGCAAGTTTAAAAAATCTTGTTCTATGAGTCAGTAAGTAAATCTTACCTTGCTGTGAGCATAAACCACAGAACCTAGTAATTTCCAAGTGCCTCCCCTTCGGTCCATGCGCACCATACGGAGGATCTGTAGGAAACGGAGACTTCTGAGTGCGGACGTGGCAAAAATATTACCCTGAGTTTTTGCAGAAACAACTGCTATTGAAGCGATAAGAACAATGGTATCTGAAAGAAACAGGTTGAAACAGCCATAAGAAGCACGACAAGGCATTTTTAGTTCCAAAAAAAACAACATTTCAGAAAGGTTCACTCGGACCTGTTTGAGGTACAAATAACCAGATCTCGAACCCCAGCACGGCGTAGCGCTACTTGGGCTCTGCGATGCCTGGACAGCGAGAAGGCAGAGAACAGGACTATCCATCCTCGTAGTTCTGGCCCATCACCATCCCATGCTCTACCTATGCAGTTTTGAACCACTTACTACTTAACCCTCAGCAAATTGGCAACGGCTTTCAGAAAGTCTGGGGTTCCCGGGAGCCTTGAAGCTGTGGGCAGCTTTCCCCAACATCCCTGGTTTCCTCAGCATCCCTGCGGGGCAGGAAGGAGCTTGCTCCTCAGCCTTCACACCTTGGCTTCCTGGTTGATGCCACAGAGGCATCATAGTCTGTCCAGCCATGAAAGAGCCACTCGGGACAATCATGTCTCTTGCTTACTTTTAAAAAATATATATTTTTATTGATTTCAGAGAGGAAGAGAGAGGGAGAGAGAGATAGAAACATCACTGATGAGGGAGAATCACAGATTGGCTGCCTCCTGCTCACCCCACACTGGGGATCCAGCCTGCAACCCAGGCGTGTGCCCTGACGGAGAATCGAACTGTGATCTCCTGGTTCATTGGTTGATGCTCAACCACTGAGCCATGCTGGCTGGGCTCTCTTGTTTTCTTGACAAAGAAGCTTGTAGCTCCTTTGGGAAAAAAATTTCCTTATGTTGTGGAGTCTGCAGCATTACATTTTGTTTAACAAAGGCCTCAACTAAGCGGAATACTCTAAGCTCTCTGCATAAAGTACTCTTGATATCTGGTCAGCCAATTATGTGCAAGTTTGGAAACACAAATCAGATAACATTACATTTGTTACAATAGAGTATGTAATTATACACACTGTGCGTTGCATGGGAATAAATATTTAATTTTTGACATATTGGCATTTGGACTAAAAAAATCCTCCCTTTTGTAAGCTAAAAAGAGGGAAAAAAATGCAGCTAATGAAAGCGTGGAAAAGATAAAAGAGGACTTAATCGCTCCAAGGGTAAATATCTGGATGATGGAAAGTAGGCTTTGAAGTGGAAGACGTGAAGTGAGGACGAATGGCCTCCTATGACAATTTAAAAATAAGTTAGCTTGACCTTAATATCCTCAAATAAACTTTCCTTCCTGCTTCAAGTGGACTGTCCATGACTGGGCATCCACACTCCAAGAGGAGTTTCACTTCGAGGGCGCTGCATTTATAATGTTTCTGTGATCCGTAGGATTAACTGCTGGATGGATGTGAGCCCCTCATTCAGCTCAGTCCTCCCTGCAGGTAGGAAGCCCTGGTCTGGACTGAGAAGATCTTCTGAGTCATTCTCCTGGTGCCCTTTTGGGCCAGGACTTTGAGAGGGAGAGAGGGTAAGTAGATGGCAGTACAAAGGTCAGCAGGAAGGTTTCATTTCCCCAGTCAGATCTGAATGCTCTGTGGCTCTATGCGTAAGGACATAGAGAGCCACACGTGCATCCTTGAGTTGCTGCTCTCTGCAGCTGTTGAAAATGAGAAGGAATTAAATGTGTTGACACAAACACCAAAGACATTATATAAGTGAATAAAAGCCAGTTACAAAGCAGTATGTGATTTTATTTTAATAAATACATATATAACTAGGAAAAACATATGAGAACATACACAGATTATTACCATGAATTATCTCTAGGAATAAAGAGTCCAGGTTCGAATAAATAGTTTTTTTGCTTTCTAAGTTATTAATTTCTCTAATGTTGGAATTTTATTCATTTATTTAAAAAATATTATAGTAATGAATGGAAAGCTTTAAAAATATTGTTCTATAACTCAGAAAGCACATCTTACTTTACTGTTAGCATAAATTTATTTTTAAAAAATGTATTCATTTTAATGTTGGAATTTTATAACAATGATTGTTTTTTGAAATCAGGAAGAAAACTTCAAAGAAAGAGTTAAGTGTGAAAAGATCTCGGTTTTCATCATTTTAAGGGATTGACTCCTGAGACACGCAGTTTACAAAGAGATAGTCTTTATATGGCCCTGCTGGATATATGTTAGCCTTTATTTTTCATTGTAATCCTGCTTCCTCCCAAGAGTACAAAGGAAATAAAAATGTACAATACTCCCATTGACTGTGCTAAAATATTAGAAATAAGTAAATGACTAATAAGGGTACAGAAAACATAGCACTTAAAACTTACCATGTGCCTGCCCTTTCTTCAAATCGAAGTGTTTTCAAATGTTATATTATTGAATACGCATAACAACCATGCTGGTTAAGTATTCTATAGATCCCATTGTACAGATGAAAAGGTGAGGCATACATTGTATGAGTTTTAAAAAAATCAGCCATAGCTCTGTTAGACTAAAGCACAGAACGTACACTATGAAGTTAATTCATTAGAGAAAACCTAGAAAAGTGAAAGGAACACCGCTGGCTTGAGACAATTTAAGAAGTTATGCACACAGTGATTCATAATCTAAATGTTTGAAGTCACAAAATATGCAAAGGTAACTAAAAACTTAATTTAATACCCTCATTGAAATTCAGATCAGAAGAGAATGTCAGAGATTAGCAAAATGAAATCATAAATGAGCAACCAAATGGCAAACAATGAATGCAGTCATAAAAATGTTTCTGGTTGGATTGCAGTCATCTGCTGGAATTTTGCTGTCAGTACCACCTAGAATATTTTCTAGGCTCATATTTTAGAAGTTAAAAGTAATCTTTACTTTTAGTTATGTAATTGTTATTTTTATAGTACATTACTTTATAGAATGGAGGTTCCACAAGGTTGGATACTTGTATTCCAAGTGCCTAGAACAGTGACTGAAATATGGTAGGTATTAAACAAGTATTTATAAAATGAACTTAGATTAATAAACACCTAAAGGTAGCTTGAGCCTTATTCTCTTATCACATCAGTGGCTTAATAACTGAAAGTATCAATCTAAAATACTCTTAGGTTAGTCGATGATCACTTCAATATCTATCACTGAATTCAAATGCAATATAATAGTTCATAGCTATTACCATTAAAGTTTATTAAAGACAAATCTCACTAAGATTTACTTTTTGTAAAATTGGGTAGGGGAAGTCCTTAAAGATGGCAACATAGGAGGCTCTTGAACTCTCCTCCTCCCACAGGCACACCGAATGGACAGCCATACAGGGAATAATTCTCTTTGAAGGAAATCCTGAAACTAGCTGAGGGACTCCAACACATCAGTTGAATGAGAAAATACCCACACTGAAATCGCTAGGAAAGGCTGAGACACATCCTATATAATAAAGAAGTAATATGCAAATTAACCCTCACACCCTCAAAAGATGGTTGCCTACGACCAGGCTGGCAGGGAGGGGGCAGTTGGGGGCAAC